CAATCGAATGGGCAGGCCGGAAAGGTTTGTGGATACGTTTAAAAGAGCACTGCTCAAGTCAAAAGGGATGGGGACGCCAGCCGAAACGTTACAAAATTTCTTGTACGTCTATCGGACAACACCAAATGAATTGTTACCGGAGCAAAAGTCCCCAGCTGAAATCCTGATGGGCAGAAGATTGAAAACGATTCACAGCCTGATGCATCCGACCAATGCACCCTCATCAGTAGAGACAAAGCAGCAAAGACAATCCGCTTACGAGGAGGGATGCCCTGTGTTTGCCCGCGACTACAGAACGACCATGGTCCTTGGGTAGAAGCGAGAGTGGTCAGAAGGGTTGGTCAGTTATGTACGAAGTAGAGGTAGGAGGTGATAAATGGTCACGACATCGCAATCAGATACGCAGACGGCTAGCCCCAGATCGCCCATCAAGAGCAGAAAGCCTTCCCCTTGACATCTTGCTTGATACCTTCAACCTACCGAGAGCCCCACCACGAGAAGAAACTCAGCAGCAAGCTGTTCTTCGTTCCCGAAGGTATCCCCTCAGACAGCGGCGAACAATAGTCAAGATGCAAGTCGACCCCAGGAGAACGCGCTATTAAAAAGGGGAGGAGTGTTGGGGATGTTAGATCCCCAAAATTCGCTTGATAATGCCGTATTTTGGTTTTCACGTTTCGCCAGCATGGGCTGATCAGATGACCTTGAGATTTCAATTCCCACCAGCAAAATCAATGGCTGTGATTGGCTGCAGTGTATTTTAGTATGCTATTTTCTTAACTGTCTCAAGGACGTTCTTATGTTGTATAAATAAACGAGAGTTGTATGCTTGATTGTACTGTGATTGCTGGGTGTTTTGTTAGAATATACTTTCTACGCTTACAAAGCCTTCTATTCCGATTTTGGGTATTCAAGGTAGCCTCCCTGGAAGCTCGTAAAAGTCTCGTTCGCGTTTATCGACTAAGGTAAACTCGTAATAGCCTCAAGCATACTAAGTGACGAACTTATCACCGTGAGACAATAGTAACCGATAAGGTTAGAGACCTTGAATGACATGGCTCAAAATCGTTTGCTACAGCGCAAGTGCATCCATTCTTTGTGTTCTCTCGAATTCTAAGCTTGTCAATTCCTCATGACCGTATTTCCCGATTTTTAAATTTGTTTCACTGGTTTATACTTCTTGAACAATAGCCTCAAACCCTAATCTCCGATTACTGCAAATACTTCTACTACCTCTACTACTATGGGATTTGAATTGATAGTTCAATCTCTCTGGGCTAATGTGGTATGCCAAGTTGAACTAATGTAGGTACGTACGAAGTTCTAAGCTGTAGTTAACTAACTGACTGAATGACTTAAACCAGTTACCCTCAGTGGAGCATAGGACGCCAACCAGCTTTCTCTAACCTACTATGTCCTCGGCTTTCCTTTCGCCAGGAGCCTCTCTGAGGCTACTGCTAGTCGAAAGCCCAGATAAAGAAGGAGCGTTGGGCGTGGGGTTCGCAGCCCCAAAACATAGAAAACTAACTCGCTAAAAAAACGCTAACCAGAAAAAAAATAGTTTAAACCATTTCAACTCTGTCCTATAAGTTTGCAGGTTTTCATTTAGAACAGTTATGACATCTCATGATGTAAGCCGACTGTTTTTGGCTCTTTAGTTTGTTACTACTATTGATGATAAATATTATGTTTTTCTAAATTTAACCAATAATATTGCTTTAAATGACAGTTAACAAGTTCATTGTAATATCCAAAGATTCTAGGCTCGATATCTAAACAGTTTGTCAGTATGCACACACACACACACACTAACATTAAGACAGATGTCCCATGATCTCTAGTTATCATTGATATCATAAATTACGATCGTCTGCGACTCATAACATTTACATATCGAAATTCTAACCAAAATACTAACTTCACTCAATAACTTGGTCGTTAATAAAACTTAGTAGCACAGTACATAATGTACTGCTGTTATGTCATTCAGTCAGTTGCAATGTAGAACTTGACACATAGGTATACATGTCAGTTTCACTTGGCAAACCACATTAGAGCAGACAGATTAACTTATAAGTTGAAATCACACGACAGTTAAGAAAGGAGTAGTATTAGTTTTAGTAGGAAATATGAGGAAAAGAAGATGAAATTTGAGAAAATATAAACCAATAAAATGTATGAATGATTCAGTAAAAGAAATTATGAGAAATGGAAAAGCCCAGAATCTGAGAAACGACAAAGAATCAATGCGTTTGTGCTATCGGCAACGATTTTGTGACATGTCTTTTGAGGTCTCTAACCACAGGGTTAATATTCCCTCGCGGAACCCAACCTGACAGTCTACACCTATTAACATGGCACAGTCCACTTGTCAGTGACTACATGGATTTGTGCCATGTTTTGGTTTGGCCACCCTTAGCTTTCTCCCAACCTATTCCCGCACCACAAAACAAAGCTCGTCGAGGTAGTCAGTGGTTTGGCATTCGTAATATAAGTCCCAACCACCTCAACAGATGAGGCTTGAATACTTCATCTATTGATCTGCCATCCTTACCTAATACTCGTTTCCTAACAACAGCATAGTTTACTCGGTTGTCCCACGATACACGAGTAATGCTCTGGAGACACCCATGATCGAAAAAACGCAACCTACGAATATACTCAACCCCTACCGATCATGTTTTTCATCCAATTAAAAGGACGAAGCAAACTGCTGCTCACTAGACTCGTCCTTTTGTTATCAGGCGGATATCCTACCTACCTTGCGCCTTAAGTGACGCAAGTTGTCAACAGCCAATCGAGCCTTCTGTATCCGTGCTGAGATTTCTTCAGATACCAGATCATCAACACTTATGAAACTCCCAAGATAAGTGAAGCAATGGACACGCTCAACTACTTTACTCCATATCATTAGTTTAGATGCCGACCCAAGTCAACTCTGAAGCAACATCTTGCATTTGGAGTGGGAGAATAGCATTTCAAACATGCTTGTATTGTCGCTTAACGCAGACAGAATGCTCCGCATTGTTTTAGTATCTTCACCATTTCCAATGAAAGTTCCCAATAGGCTCTAATTCAACAATTAATCTCCGAGCAGAGAGCCCCTAGCAAAGTTAATGTTGTTGGATAATTGAAAAGTGTGTCTATGTTCTGGAACCTGTAGAGGTGTGAATATTCAGTCTATATATGCACGTGTTACATACTCTAGGTTTGTGTTATCAGCAAGATTAACAAGCCAAGATGACAATATGCCTAGTTGAAGAGTCTAAAATATAACTACAAATGTTTGTTCAAGATTTCACTGTAAGCTATTATTGAGAAACATAATCAAACTGTCAGAAACCATATAAAATAACCTATATGTGTTAACATAAACTGACCAACTTCATCTTAACTAGTCACAATAAGAAGGTAGTCTTACACTGAACCTATTTAACGCATGTTGTTCTGTAAATTCACTTCCTATTTTCGAATCATATACAATAAGTGTGAAACGTTTTTGATAACCATCGATATTACTAACCAAATAATTTTGGTGCTCATCTAGGAGTGATTTCATGCTGATATATTGATATATGGTATGACAACTTGAACCGATGAACATATACACCAAGTTTTAGGTTACTTATAACTGAATGACTGAGTGACCGACTGAGATTTGCTAGATTTCACATGAATCCATTGAAAATCAAATCGAATGGAATTACTTGAATTGACATCGTCAGTCAGTCAGTCAGTCAGTCAGATACAACGTAGAACTTTGTATGTAAGTACATCAGTTCATGTTGCCGTACCACATCAGCACAAATGTACAATTGTCAATTCAAATCCAATAGTAGAAGAGGTAGTAAAGGTATTAGAAGTAATCGGAGAGGTTAGGATTAGAAGATATTATTCAAGAAGTATGATTCAGTGAGATAAATTTAGAAAGACAAAACTAGAGGTGTTGAAGAATCCAGAAGATTAGGATTCGAGAGAACACAAAGAATAAATGCACCGGCGCCATTGCAAATGGTTTTGAGCCATGTCATTCAAGGTCTCTAACCATCGATTATTATCATCTCGCGGACCCCAACCAGGTAGTCGACAATTACCGACATGGCTAAGTCCACTCGTCAATGACTTCATGGATTTCTGCCATGTTTTGGTCTGACCGCCCCTAGCTTTCTCCCAACCTACTCCTACACTACAAAACAAAGCTCGTCGAGGCAGTCAGTGGTTAGGCATACGCAGCACATGTCCCAACCACCTCAACTGATGAAGTGTCACTACTGCGTCTATCGATCTGCCATTCTTACCTAGCACCCGTTTCCCCTAATAACAGCATTGCTCACTTGGGTGTCCCACGATATACGAGCAATGCTTCGAAGACAGACACCTATGATCGAAAACCAATAACCGACGAATATTTTCTACTCTCACTGGCCATGTTTCGAATTGGACATCATAGTATCAAAAAATAAAATAAAATAAAACAGCACAGATTTACCATACGAAATGCTTCGGAAGCATCAGTTCCAGCATATTCCAATAGAATATCCATACCACCAGGATGATATGCAGCAAATTTCGTGATATCATAAACTGCAGCTAATATTAAAAATAAAAATAAAAAAATAAAAGAATACTTTAACAACTTCACAAAAGAAAGCCTCCACCACAATAATAATAAATTTTATCCTAATTCAATGATTTCAAATGAGTGAAATCAAACAAGAAAAATTATTATTTTTTTTTTGGAAAAAATAAAATAAACATATTTATGGAGGAATGATTGTTAGATGAACACAATAGAAATTTGAAAGCATTGAAAGATGGCCGTTTCGTTCGAGTGTATAGGAATGGCTTATCAATGATAGTGCGCATCCCCATGATACCTGATACTAGCATGACACGAGCCAAATGATTCATTGCCCGACCGTAGCTGCTACCTTGACGCTGTGGTGGTCGGGCTTGCCTATCGTGATGATCCAACCAAGCTATATTGGCTGGAACATATGTTTCTGAAGGTTCTACAATGCTAGGCAGGTCGATTGGAGAACGATCAGACTAAAAGCAGTTACTCAAGGTCTGAGGGCGAAGTCCTACTGCTGACTGCAGAGGGGTGTGACAGCAGTAAGGTGTTTCCCTCGGACAAACCACATCTGCAGCGATGCTGCCTTTTCACAAAGAAGGAAGGGTTAGAAAAGGTCGACCCTAAAAATGTCACACCTCCCCTAACTCACGAATTTCCGTCTCCTTGGGTAAGGGTGTCCACTAATGGCCTTTAAGAACGGAGCTAATGCTCAAAAAACCTTTCATAAAAAGGCCGTGCGTGACCGGCCTCAAGCAGTTGTCCCTTGGACTCTGCGGTCACGCACCAACACTAATCCATCTTCCTTTTCAGGTTCCTCAAGAAACGACCTTCCACGGTGTGGGCAGCCAGGAAGTGACAACCGCCCTCATACCCGTAACAGCACACGAGACCAAATTGGTCAAAATCAAATCCTTCCTACACCCCTAATACCTCTCTTATCTTCACGACTACTTCTTCTCACATTCATTTATCACAGTGCACAGCTAATGCACACGATGCGAGTTCGCGAAACGTCGTTCCTGATCTCCTTAAACCCCGTTCTAATTGAACGACATGGCTCAATATTGTTTGCCATGGCACAAGTGAATCCATTCGTTGTGCACTCTCAAATTCTAATCTTCTGGAATCGTCAGTACCTCTACCTTTGTCTTTCTAACCTTATCTCACTGAATTATACTTCTTGAATAATATCTTCAAACCGTAGTCTTCTTCATTACCATTAATACCTCTTCTATCTTTATCACTATGGGATTTGACTTGAAATCTGCGACTTTGTGCTAATGTGGTATGTGAACATGAACTTATGTACATACGTACGTAGTTCTACGTTGCAACTGACTGACTGACTGCTAACTGATTAAAATACTAAGTTACCATCCTTCCATCTGCTGAAGTTGAAGTAGCGTGATATTAAGAACTATAACCTAATGGATGAATAGTATTGTTTACAAAACTTTTGGTAGATATTCTACTGAAAATTGAATTATAATTAGCAATTAGAGTGCTTTTCATTATACTTGACAGGATTCCCCTTTACAGCCCTATTTTGCGGGATATATTGAGAAAGCATAGGATTTGGTACACATATTCATCCATCCAACTGGTCTCAATCACTGATTGTCTCAGTCTATAAAAAAAAGGAGAAAAGTCCTCTTGCGAAAATCACAGAGGAATCAGTTTGATTAATATATATTGTTTAAATTGTTAACCTTGATAATATACTTAGACTCCAAATTAGAGTTTGTGAAAAGCAGACTCGAGAAATCCAGACTGGTTCCATACCTCAACGTGGATGTATAGACCACATATTTACACTACAACAGGTCCTACAACACAGACACACATTTAGGCGTCCAACCTTCTATCATGAAGTTTACTTGATAACTTAGAATATACCGATGACATAATTCGATTGGATGAACTAGTGAAATGGAATGAAGAAGTTCGACATGTCGACCGCTTCACTTACATCGAGAGTCACATCAGGCCAGTAGGAACAGAGGATATTTGCAAGTTACTAGGATTCGATCATAGGCGTCTCCGAAGCATTGTTCATATATCCTGGGATAATCGAGTAGGCAATGCTGCTGCTAGGAAAAGCGTACGAGCTAAAGATGGCAGATCAGTTGATGTAATACTGCATATTCATCAGTTGAAGTGGTTGGGACATATGTTACCTATGCCCAACCGCTGACTGCCTCAATGAGTGATGTTGTTTAATGTAAGCTGGAAGAAACCAAAGAGTGGCCAACCTAGAACATGACACAAATCCCTGAAGTCACTGACAGGTGGACTGAGCTGTGTTACTCTACCTGGCTGGGATCCGTGAGACAATAGTAACCGGTGATTAGACGCTGTAAACGACATAACTCAAAATGCAAAACATAGTTTGAAAAGAAATGTATGAACATAAGTGTTATCCATCTACCAATATACATCATTTTTTTTACAAAATTTCTATTATATCTAATCAATATGATCATTTCACGTTATAAAAATGATTTGCTGCACACAGAAGAAATCGAATGTTGCAGAGGTAAAACAGACAAAAACTTTTCAAACAATAATCAATCTTACTTTTTCCTTGATGATCTAAAGCTACCCACATATCATCAGGTTTATTATGCTTAGCTAATTCCGCAGAATCAATTTCTAAATTTGTTGGTTTCTCGGATAAATACTTTTCAGTTTTAGTATATGCATTCCAATAACCGATACCCCTAAAAACAAGGAGAAGGGATTTAACAAAATTACATAGAAGAAACCATGTGAAGTAGTATATTTAGAACTTGATACAAATTGATTTAGTATTATATAAGTTACTACTGAAATTATGAACCAATCGTTGTTAGACCACCATCAGAAACCTGGAGGCACTAAAAGACAGCCGTTTCGTCATGGTATGGGACTGGCTCATCAGCAGTACGTATCCACGACTTCTGCTACTCGTGGGATTAAAACTTAGTAGATTCAGTCTTGTGTGCAAACGCGAAATGTTCGAATTCAAGTAAAAATAGAAACTGTGAGATTATAGTTGAAACAGCAGACCACAGTTTTGTAGTAAGAAATGAATATGAACCAAAGGACGGGTGTACTGTGCAGCAGTTCGCTCCGTTCTCCTATATGTCTGTGAAACATGGCCGTTAAGAGCAGATGTTCGTAGGTTACTAGTATTCGATCATCGATGTCTCCGAAGCATTGCTCGTATATCGTCGGACAACCGAGTAAGCAATGCTGTCGTTAGGAAACGAGTACTAGGTAAGGATGGCAGATCAATAGATGAAGAGGTGGTTGGGACATGTGTTACGAATACCTAACCACCGACTGCTTCGACGAGCAATGTTTTGTAGTGTAGGAGTAGGTTGGAAGAGAGCTAGGGCCGGCCAGACCAAAACATGGCAGAAATCCATGAAGTCACTGACAAGTGGAATGAGTCATGTTGGTAGATGTAGACTACCTGGTTGGAGTCCGCGAGACGAAAGTCACCAATGGTTAGAGACATTGAATGACATGGCATAAAATCGTTTGCAATGGCGCAAGTGCATCCATTCTTTGAGCTCTCTCAAATCCTATCTTCTGGATTCGTCAGCACCTCTACCTTTGTCTTTCTAACCTTATCTCACTGAAGTATGCTTCTTGAATAATATCTTCGAACCCTAGTGTTCTTCATTACCATTAATACCTCTTCTATCTTTATCACTATGGGATTTGACATCTGCGTCTTTGTGCTAATGTGGTATGTCAACATGAACTTATGTACATACGTACGAAGTTCTACGTTGCAACTGACTGACTGAATGAATGAATATCAAATTTTCAGGTTGATGATGAACGTTCATACAATTAAAAAGTGTAACAAAAACACCAACAGAAAATCAGCAACAGAAAGAGTTGAATTATGAATAGCCGTGGAAAAACTATGAGAAACATTTCAAATTTCAGCAGTATTTAAAGTTAAGATATGATAAAATCCTATGTTTTTTCAACGATATGAGCTATAGAATTACATTTACATTAAAAATAAATTTTCTTCTAAACCATAAATTTCAAAGATTCTATGGAATAAATGAAAATACAAATGAAGTTGACAAACTAACTCTCTATCAAAAAATAAGTCGTACCAACAAATTTAACATACGCTGATTCAACTGCAAAAGGGATTTTAGTATTGATATGGAAAGAATTGAATTATTCGAGGAGAAAACCGGAATAATTATACAGTTGCAGGTATGATGGTGGATGTCACTTTCCGGCTGCCCACACCGTGGGAGAATGCTTCTTCAGGAACCTGAAAAGGTAGGTGGATTAGTGATCTTAGAGACCTGGAAGCGTGACCACAGAGCTCAAGACTGCTTGAGGCCGGTCACATACGGCCTTTTCATGGGAAGTTAACATGTTAGCTTCGCTCTTCAAATAGCCTTGCCGCCGGAGACAGAAATCCGTGAAGTAAGGTGAGATGTGACATTCTTAGGGTCGACCTTTTCTAACCACTTCCTTCCCTATTAGAATGTAGCATCGCTGCAGATGCTGTTTGTCCGATGGAAACACAATACGATTGAACCGTATAGTCCAACAAATGGAAATTCACCAAAAATGTCCAAATAAGCTACAAGTATTCTCCATCATAGAAAGCTCGCTGCATACATGATTAGTAGTTGAATAGCGCGATTTAGGTCACTTTAGTGAATGAAGTACAATTAAATTAAAAACTTAAAACTGAGGGTAGCATACACCCGTGCTCTCCAAATGCTATCTCCTGACATGTAGTCTTAAGACTGCAACAGAATACATGAATAGAAGCAATGATACACGAAAATGATATAAATTTTGGAAGCATTTCATGCATTTTCTCAGAGGTAGTTTAGCAATGACACAACCCAATAATACAAGGACACTAAAAGACCTTTCTCACAAAGTATATAATTGGCATCTAAGTCCTTAAGGTTGGCGAGTTGGATGAGTTAGGAACAGTGACCACTACTAGACACATGATGTTAAAAATCAGATGTACCAGATTGAGGATCTAGAAGAAATCTGAGGAAGTCGTACAAACTTTTTAAAAATTTACCCTGGCTTCGAGAGCATCCTTAGTATTGGCAAAACCGTTCTAAAATTATTGGTATGCGTCAAAACATGACATATTCAAATAACAGTCGGACATTAAACCAAGATTGGATATGTTAACCATATCTAAGCTGACGCATGATGTTGATCATAATGAGAAGAAAGAACAGAGTTAACCGGACTCAGACAAGTTGCTTTGAAATCGAATTAATCGCATCCTTTCTTCAATCTACCATGAAATGCTTAACATTCGATATGTGAAAAAAATATGTTAAAAATAAAATTACTTTATCAACAACTAACCGCCACCTCAATCTCGCGACTGTGAGAAAGGAACTTCACATATAAGCATTTTCCCAAAAACGATGAAATATCGCCCGAGGCTGGGAGAATGAAATGTGACATAAATAAGAAAACAATAAAACCATAGTATGATGGAAAATTATCATACTGATATAAGTTGAACTCACATGGAACTCCTGATACGGGACCGGAGCTCTTTGTTTTCAAATAGACTAAGAGGTAGGTTGAATTGTGGTTTATTCTCCATGTCTTTGAATTTTTCGAACCTCTAAACGAATTATTACAATCGAAAATGCAATTACTGAAAAATTACACAAAAACTAGAAATACATATACTTATGCTCATTAATTACATTAATTATACCTATTTCTGAATACTCAGAGAGAATCTCATTTTCCAAAAGAAATGTAAGAATTTTTCTAGTTTGAAAACTTTTTAACAAGCAAACGATATCATGTAATGTGATTCTGTTATCAAACAAATCAGCAAGAAACAGGACAGCAAGTAGCCTCTAACGATTTTGCGCAGAGGCCATGTCCTTGAGAGTTAGCCTTGATTTGGAAAGTTCAAATAACATCCAACATCCAATATCTTTTCACGAGCTAGTATAATCAAAATGGTATCCTTGCACTCTATTCTTGTTCTCTCGGCACGGTTCCGAGTACTTGGTCATACCCGATCGATTTTAATCCAGCCAGTTGACTTCACTAATTCTAACCATTTGGCAGTTATTTTTGTGAATTTGTACGTCCCGTAATTTATGTGAAAGCGTTGACCTCGCAGTACTAGGGTTTCTGGATACCAGCTGTTAGCATATTGCCGGGCTGGATATCAGTTATTTGCAGCACGGAAGATAATGATGAGTAAATTCCAATGCTAATAACAGGAAGATTTCAGAACTAAGTAAAGATATGGGTGAGTAAGCTAACTGATTGGTAGTGAAAATTGTGCGAGAGGACCGAAGTGTTAGCAAAGGAGAGAAAACAATGATGATCCATGATATAGGATAATCTGGTGATCTAAGGAAATAACAGTAATAACAACTAGCACGTTTCAAGTTATGCTTCAGAAACAGTAAGTCCTTTATTCATACTCCGGTACTTTTAAGCTGCCCGGTGAATCCACTGCGATCGATTCGGGTGAGAGAGCAACCCAACTTGCGACAAGTCTTAATGAGAAGAAGTAGGCCTTTACTTGAGTCTGTGCTTTTTTATTTGCGACTTTTCGAGACTTACACTGAGATGAATAGGGGTGATGTTTTGGCAGGATTCTGTAGTTGAATACTTGTAAGAAGGGAACGCGATTGTTTAAACAGAAACATTTATTATTATAGCCAATTTACCAGTGATCTTTTAATTGTACCTTTTGTTTATAAAGCACTTTGACGCACGACTTTCTGTTTTTGTTGCCGCCATTCTTTGTTGCATACTGCTCTTTAATTCGTCCACTTTCCTAGTTTAATTTCGGTGCTCTTTCGACAACACGAAATCACCAGCGAATATATTTTTTACCCTGAATTTATTTATCTTCCCATTGGGGGATTCGTAATTAGTATTTTGTGGTGATCATAATCAATCTCGACTCAATCACCACTAAAATATCATGTTAGTATGGGACAACATACAGGGTATGTTGCATCACTGTAACAGATCATCTCTCGTTCTCCTAGCACTCAGCGGGAATAATCCCAAGAATATCCTGAAATGTGAGTTCAATAGCTTTATAACGGTCCAATAACTAAATATATGAGATCTTTGTTCTCAGATTTAGTACTTGAAGTAAATAGGGCTGATATCGTTGTGTGATACATAAAATAGCTGATCTAACTCTTTTTTTGAATGGGGCAACAGGAGTTGTAACCATCTGATAAGATTAGGAATTCAAGTTACTGATGATTCTAAGGCTAATATGATAGTCGGCTGGCGATTTACATTTCAAGTAGTTGTAAAGCTTTTGACATTCCGTAAATTCCTCGTAGTTGCCGAGCAAGTTAAATGTATTTTTAATATGTTATTATCATTTTAATTTTTCTATGTACATAATTATGTATTATTATTATTTATCGGTGTGTACTTTCAAACGCTGTTGCATGGCAAATATGCACGAATATATACCATGTTTTCTCTAATCCTTTTTCATGCCTATGGACGTAAGGATGACTGTTGAAGAAGAAAGACAGAAAACGAATAAGTTTAGTGAAAGTTTGATTACAAACTCCTTGCTACCATCATCGACAACACTGCTCTTTGGATTTGGAAAAGATGGCCAGAGATTGCTGGACGTATCAAGCTATCAGAAGATTGTTTATGAATGTCACTCACGATTCATCTAAACTTCTAGCTGATCAGGTTTTATGGCCCTCACTTTATTAATGAAGATGCAAATAGTAGAAGTAATTCAATCCCCAAAATAAATAGTTCTGTCACTTTTCGACATTGATGCTCTCCACTTTGGTTCATCATGCATACCCTAGTTGACTGTAGGTGACTTTTTAGCTTTTTATACTTAAACCGTCATTCATAACCTTATTACTTACAACCATAATTCCTAACTTACAAATGTTGAACAATAATGGTGTGAATTTTCGCCTTACGTAGTTTTACATCAAGGTCGCGTTATGGTGCGTGCTGCCAGAGATCTAACTGCTATGTGCTGTATACGTATACATATTCTACCACCTTAGAAAAGGAAGCTGTTTCTTGGTTAGTGATATGTATTCGTCAGTTAATAGATTTTTTTATAATCATCAAATGGCCTTCTCATAATTTAGGATCCAAACTGAGGTTTGGACTGAGGAATAACTCTCAAGGAAGTTTAAACACGCGCCTTTCCCAGGTGAAATTCAGAACAAGTGATTTCTATTATTAACCAATAATATAGATATACATCATTACCTAGACAATATTACCACGTTATTCCTCCAATTATTCAAATAAATGATATTCTGTCCCTCAGGGTCTTTCATATTCTGGAACAGTGCTCCAATTCATAGTCAATCAAAATGCACACTTCCAGTCAGTGCAACCGCTCCAACCAACAGAGGAATGAATCAATATGGCAGATGCCATAACTAGGTCTCAGCTTAAACAACATAATGCAGTCCAGAAAGAGACAAAGAATTTCAGCAAAGGCACAAAATTAGAAACTATTATAAGAGACAAATATTATCGACTCAAAATAGAATTGAAAAGATTGACAAAATGTGGAACTGAAAGAATCAATAAGGACATATTACGAATGTATACATGGAGGGATTTTCACAAACAAAGCCTTTCCAAATGGATCTTACACATAGAGCCGGTTGTGATCAAACCACCATATTAGTCACCAACCTACGGGTTAGCCCCTTATCACTGTTATCTAGGTTATTCTGGCTGTCCAAGTTTCACTTAATAACAACCTGGTTATTAATGTGGTTCTTTTTATTGAACTAACCATGATGAAATCGCACCATCTCATCTCACTAACTCTGTGTTACGTTCATTCGTATTCTGCATTAACTAATTTTACATACGCTTTAGAAAGGGAATATGATTTTTGGTCACATCTGGTCTGACCATCGTCTTGCTAAGACTGTGTCTGGAGAACTGCAATTATTTAGGGGGACTTACGTCGAATTCCTAAATGGTGCACTTATCTTCCATGATGTAATTGCTTAATTTATAAGGGCTAACATGGAAGTCACAGCGTTGTGTTGACTGACTCGTCCCATCTTGACAGTCATCGGCAGGCTTCCTGAAGCTTCTAAATAACACTTACGTTTTGGGATAGAATTACATATTACATAGAGCGAACACGCATGCATAACGGAACACCATAACTCGATAATTTTTCACGTGTCCACAAACTTCTGACCTTCGCCATATGTTCAACGGTCAGTCAAATACTTCTCAGTTATTACATAGTTCGATTCAAGGATTTGTTTTGGATTTTGAATACATCGACATCTCAGATGAAGCACAAAATACAGTGGACGACTCGAATGCAGCTAGAAATCTAGACTTTGCAGAATATCTAGCCCTTCCCTAGCTCACACGAGAACAAATGAAATAGAAGATGACCAGTGCAGCACCAGTCCCACTAGAAGGATCTTTGAACACACACTATGGAAAAAACGAGGTCCTCCGATACAACACCATATACACAAACAAAATCACATTAAACGTAGGAGCTTTTGAGGATGTAGAAAATTGAGCGGCATCATTGATAAAATAGGGTGGATCTGGTGCAGATGTGAAAGCACGCATTGGTAAAGTAAAACCAACACCACTGCAATAGAGGGATATTTAAAACTCAAAACGACTTTCAACCATCACGTCACAATTTTCAATGCAAGCAACAAAACAGTTTTATTTGTTGGAACGGAAACTGGAAGAGCTATAAAAACCAGAATCCACGAGAACTAATTTGGAATCTTCAAGGCCAAATGAAAATTAGCTGACCAAGGAACATTCCGTTCCAGTAACTGGAAAGAAACATGGATATAATGAACATCAACTGGGTATACCTGGAAAGGAAGGCTCAAGACAGAGTTGGCTGGGGAATCCTCTGTTGGGAGTAACTGGCTTCAACAAGTAAGTAGCTTCTCAGATTGTGTGGTCAGAATCCTGTATCGTCACAGTAGTGTGAGAATATTCTGAGTCTGCATTTCGGGTGTGTATAATTCTGATGATATCTCGGAAAATCAGGTAGGCAGCAGTATAATGGATTTTCTAAACTTGCAGTTCACTCCGGCTCGAAAAGGTGCAGGTTCATACGCGTTCACCCAGTCGAGGACCGAAAACACGATAATTCCGGGAGAAAACGGTTCTATTTTACTAAATATGGAAATACATACAATTACCAAAACGATATAATAATAATAATTTATTCTCAAATAACAAACATGTTACAAGAGACATGCCAATTTACAGGCAAGATCAAAATGTTAAGATTAGCAACATATTTGTTTTAAAACGGTATACAGTTACTGAAACATTTCACAAGATTCATTGTTTTCTTAAAGATGGAATGTAGAATGCGAGTAATTGGCGCAAGTTACGAAGGTTGCGTTACGACAATCATCTTATGGACTGAGAAACGATTCATGGTAGAGACAGGTTTTCATATAACAAGAATTGATGCGGTAAATGTACAAAGGTCTGGTTGATATTCATCAGCTAATGATTTCACATGTTCTCGGGTAGAGTAACCAAGTCTACTGCAAATATCCAGACTAATATATGAGGATTGGAATAAAGTGCTGAAAAAAGAGAAATAAAGAAAACGGGACGAGGAGCAGAACAGAAAATATTCATGTTCAAAGCCGAACAACGGTTTCGCACATAGGTTTATGGATAAAACAAAGGTATGTTTACTCAGACCTTTTTAATATCTGTACACTAAATGTACACCTGCACTTCCGTAGATTATTGAAGACAATTCAGTAGTAAGATAACTAATTGGAAGTTAGTCGAATGAATAGAGGAAATTCAGAAGAACCAAGTTGTTACTAATAATGTTGATTTACAAAATATAATAAAGA